TATTTTAAGTGGGTGTGTAAGAGTTGGTAAACTTGTCCTGGTAAAGCAGCTCCTGCTGCTAACATTTTTCACAGAAAAAATATGTGGCATTAGTAAAAGTCATACCAGTAGCAGCAGCATTGCTAAAAGTTTGTTTTGCTATTGTAGTGGCAGAACATTTAAAATGTCATTTTTACAGTTTAGTCACGTTACGCATTTGTTTATTTAATTCGATTTGTTGTACGCGCGACAAGAGGCAAGAAGCAGTTAGTGAAAAAAAAACGAATTGAATGAATGACTGGCTGACTGGCTGACTGTGTGAATGAAAAACGCAAGAATTTTTAGCAACAACTACTAAACATACACATACAAACAAATGGAAACATGTAAGTTCCTTAAGCACGAGTATATAACACCCTACAAATACTAATAAAAAGTAACTATTGACAGAGACAAATTTTCTTCAAGAAAAGCTTCTCATAATAAGCCATCCTTTCTACAAGAAAAGCTACTCATAATGAGCTAATTTTTCTATAAAAAAAGCTGCTCATAATGAGCCAACATTTCTATAAGAAAAGCTATTCATATTGAGCCGACTTTCTATAAGAAAAGCTGCTCATACTGAACCAACTTTTCTATCAGAGAAGCTGCTCATAATGAGACAACGTTTCTATCAAAAAAGCTTCTCATAATGAGACAACTTTTCTATCAGAAAAGCTGCTCATAACGAGACAACTTTTCTATCAGAAAAGCTGCTCATAATGAGACAACTTTTTTATAAGAAAAGCTTCTTATAATGAGACAACTTTTCTATAAGTAAAACTGCTTATAATCAGCCGACTTTTCTATAAGAAAAGCTTCTTATAATGAGCCAACTTTTCTATAAGAAAAGCTGCTCATAATGAGAAAAATTTTCTATAAGAAAAGCTGCTCATAATGAGACAACTTTTCTATAAGAAAATCTGCTTATAATGAAACAAGTTTTCTATATTAAAGGCTGCTTATAATGAGCCAACTTTTCTATAAGAAAACTGCTCATAAGGAGACAACTTTTCTATAAGAAAATCTGCTTATAATGAGCCAATTTTTCTATATTAAAAGCAGCTTATAATGAGCCAACTTTTCTATAAGAAAAGCTGCTCATAACGAACCAACTTTTCTATAAGAAAAGCAGCTTATAATGAGCCAATTTTTCTATAAGAACAGCTCTCATAATGAGTGAACTTTTCTATAAAAAAAGCTGTTCATAACGAACCAACTTTTCTATAAGAAAAGCTGCTTATAATGAGCCAACTTTTCCATAACTAAAACTGCTCATAATAAACCAACTTTTCTATAAGAAAAGCTCATAATGAGCAAACTTTTTTATAAGAAGAGCTGCTGATCGAACTTATACATCAAAAAAGCTGCTCATAATGAGCCAACTTTTCAATATGAACAGATTTTAATATATATAAAAAGCTGCTTAGAATAAGCCATTTAAACTTGTGTAGGGTAAAAACAGAACAGCTCTTATAATGAGCCAACTTTTCTATAAGAAAAGCTGCTCATAATGAGACAACTTTTCTATAACTAAAACTGCTCATAATAAACCAACTTTTCTATAAGAAAAGCTCACAATGAGCAAACTTTTTTATAAGAAGAGCTGCTGATCGAACTTATACATCAAAAAAGCTGCTCATAATGAGCCAACTTTTCAATATGAACAGATTTTAATATATATAAAAAGCTGCTTAGAATAAGCCATTTAAACTTGTGTAGGGTAAAAACAGCTTTAGTAAGAATCACAAGCTATGTTGGCACAAACATGTCAAACAGTTTTTTTTCTATTGAAAGTCATTCAAATGGAGTGTGAGTGAATAAAGTTTGAGTGTGATGATGAGAAAAGGACGACTATGGTTGATGGTTTCTTTTACCATGACAGGAAGGAAGTGTGTGACAGAGTGTGTGTATAAGAATTTTTCTTTTTTTTTTGCTTGCTTGAAGCCTAGAAGTTTGTTAAATATTGTATTGTATGTAAACAACAGCAACAAATAGTAGGTATGTATGTGTATTTTGGCAGTATATAATTTCTCTTTTTTAGGAATTTGTTAGATAAGAGTAATAATAATTTCTTAGGAACTTTTCACAGAAAATATAGACTTTTTCAGTTTACTTATATAAATTAAATAGAATTTCTAATTTATATTTGATATCTAATGGGAATATATTTTGTTTTATATGTTCTAACATATTTTTGATCACTTCTGTCTTTATTGATAAAATTTCAAAACCTTTACAACTTTTCTCTCTAACCAATATTTTTTTTAGCTAAAAAAAAGAAAAAACCAACAAATATTTTCCAACATCAAGATTTGTTATGTGTATAAATAAAATAATGACATTTGAATTTTTGCACGTTTTTCCGTTTGAAATATTTATGAAAAGAAAATTGATTTCAGTTGTTTTTTTCACTCGGTCGTTTATCCATATTATTGTTGTTGTTATTGCTCTTATTGTTGAGGTCGTCATTGAAAATATGAAAATATTTTTTTTCCGCTGGCAAAATAAACATAAAATTTAACGATAATTTTGTACTGCGAAAAAAAACACAGGAAGAATTTTTATTAAAAACAAAATTAGTTGATTCACAGATTTTTTTTTGCTTTCGAAAGAAAATTATTTTTAATGACAAGCTGCTGTAATTTAATATAATTAATTTTGAATTTAAAGTGGCATTGAAAGTGAATGTTTAAACAAAAAAATCTGTTGCCATGTAAGATGACCTAAATATTTTTAATTGAAGTGGAAAAAATATGATGTAAAAATGAAATGGAAGTGAAATTTTATGCATAAATTTTATTTATTTATTTTTACCCACATTTTCATAAAAAGCATTTTATTTTATCAAAAGTTTATAATCCGTTTATAAATTAAAAATTTGTTTAGGAATATTGGAGTTAAACTTACTTATTTATTTACTTTTCAACATAATTTTTTGAACAATTAATAAAAATACTCTTTTTAAATCCTCCCATTGGTATACTGACATGTCCATTGGCCAGCCTAGCCAACCGATTAGTCTACTGAGTACCCCATCGACTAGTCTAAAGAGTAATAAACTAGTCATTAACTAGTCCATCTATTGATGACATAGACTAGTCTAATAATCAGTCTATTGATAAGCCCATAGCCCGCCTATCTGCTAGTCTATTGACTAGTTCATCAACTAGTCCATCAGCTAGCCTATTGGCTACACCATCAACTTGTCTATTTAAAAGTCCATAACTAGTCGATTGATTAGTTAACCAACCAGTCTCTTGATTAGTCTATCAACTAGTCCAACAACTAGCCTAATGACTACTCCCTCAACTAGTTCAATAATCAGTCTATTGATAATAACATAGCCCGCCCATCTGCTAGTCTATTGACTAGTTCATCAACTAGTCTATTGACTAGTTCATCAGCTAGTCTATTGACTAGTTCATCAACTAGTCTATTGACTAATTCATCAACTAGTCTATTGACGAGTTCATCAACAAGTCTATTGACTAGTTCATCAACTAGTCTATTGACTAGTTCATCAACTAGTCTATGGGCTACGCCATCAATTTGTCTGTTTACAAGTCCATCAACTAGTTGATTGATTAGTCTATCCAATAGTCCATCAACTGGCTTAGTAATCAGTCTATTGATAAGCCCATAGCCCGCCTATCTGCTACGCTATTGACTAGTCCATCATCTAGTCTATTGACCAAACCATAAACTTGTCTATTCACAAGTCCATCAACTAGTCGATTGATTAGTTAACCAACCAGTCTATTGACTAGTCTGTCAACATGTCCATCAATTGACAACTCCATCAACTAGTCTACTGCCTAGTCCCTCAACTAGGCATTAGTATATTGACTAGTTTATCGGATACTCTATTGACTAGCCCATCGGCTTGTCTATTGATAATTTCATAGGTTAGTCTACTGACTAGTCCATAAACTAGTCTATTGTCTAATTCATGACTAGTCTCTCGACTAGTCTATCGGCAAGTCAATCGACTAGTTTATTGGCTAGTCAACTGACTAGTCTATTGCCTAGTCAATTGACTAGTCTATTGCCTAGTCAATACTCTGTTCTATGAAGTAGACAAGAGACTAGTTGATGGACTAGTCAGTAGAATAATGGCTTATTTATTAAAGATTAGTCGTCTATTTAGTAGTCCATCAACTGGTCTATTGACAAGTCAATTGACTAGTATACTAATTAATATATGGACCAGTTCATTAATTAATCCAGTGCATCGAGAATTCTACATATTGACTAGTCCTTCGATAATACCGTTGACTAGTCCATCGCCGAGTCTATTGAATATTCCATAGACTATTCTATTCCGTTGACTACTACGATTGAATAGTCAATCGGATAATATATTGAGTGATCCAACGATCGGTCTATTTACTAGTTTTATTGATATGTCTATTGACAAGTTTACTAACTATTGACTGGTCCATTAACTAGTCTATTGACCAGTCCATCGATTATTCCACTGACTAGTCCATTGGATACTCTATTGATTATTTGATTAGACTATCGATTAGTCTCAAAACTACTCGATTGAATATTCCATATATAGTACATCAACTAATCCACTGAGTAGTCTACCGACTCGTCTACTGACTAGCTTCTGGAGTAGTTCATCGACTGCTTTATATAATTGTTCAGCGAGTAACTTGTTGACTAGTTCGTCGAATGTTCTTGACTATACCATTGAATATTCTATTGACTATTCTACTGACTATTCCTTCTCCTAATGGCTAGTCCATCGACTAGTGCATTGTTATGTTTACTGACTAGTTTGTTGATAGTCTTGTGGCTAGTCTTTTTGTCTAGTCTATAGACCATCGACTACTCTATTGAGTAATCCTTCGTCTAGTCTACATACTAGTTCATTTTAGTGTCTACTATTCTATTGTCTACCATCTAGTCTTTTAAGTTACTTATTAGTTATGTACAGCAACTATTCAACATATGTTTTAATTCCATTGCAGCGTGATGTACTCATACTAGAGCCATCGGGTTCAGATATTTTAAGCTGTGTGTCCAAAGGAAAACATGAGGTAATTGAATAAAACTATAAGTTTTAAAGAGAGAAAATGAAGTTAAATAAATTTTATGTTTAATAATTTCCTTAATACTAAAATTTTTCTTTAAATTAACAAAACAATTGGCTTGCATATAACTAATGGGTGCGTTTTCCATTTTTCTCTCTTTCTTCCTAAAATTTCTTGATTTTTTTTCCATTTAAAATTTTTTTTTTTTTTTTTTTTGATACTTGTTTGGTTTTTGGTCACTTGTATATTTTTTTCTTATTTATATTAAATATATTTTCTTTTTTTTCCTCTACTATTTCTTCTTACTCTTCGTTATATTTAATTTTTTGCCATTCCTCTTTGTTGCCGTATGGTTTTTTGTTGTTGTTTGTCTTCAAACTTTACAACCATTTGTACGTGCCTTCTAAATTGCCCTGTAGAAGGTGGAATGCCGTAATCACATACGTGTTATACAACCTATGGACTCTGGAACACGTCTTTATGTTTGCGGTACAAACGCCCACAATCCCAAGGACTACGTGATAAATGTAAGTATATAAAAGAATTTGCAAAAAAAAAAAAATATATTTTTTTTAGTTATTTTATACATAAGAAATGTATTTTTTATATATATAGATACTGGACCAGCATTAACAATCCATGTAGTTATTTAGGTTAAGTTGTGGCTATTTAGAGAGCAGTAATGTTAAATGTTTAAATGAGAGGAAAATTATATTACATTTAACTAAGATTTTAATTTAAGTATAATTTATTTTAAAAAGTCTAGTAATCAGGAGTCCAAAAAGGCGTATTAGTCAGGGCTAACAAAATGTTCAATTGAAAGAGAACAATACAATCTATAGTCATAGAAGAAAAAATCAGCTGAAATCCTGGGAAAAATAACGATGTTAGAATTCTTGCTTACGATCGATATCGGAGGACGGAACTTCGATTCCCATCCCATTGTAGGAGATGAAGTATATAGTGATTTTTCTGCTTTAAAATTATATCTCTTCAAATAAAAAACTTATAATTTCGAAGAAAGAGGTTTATGTTTCTAAAACGTTTATCATATGTTTAGCAGGTCTCTCTATTAGAAATTATTTGCTTTAGCGTGTCTTATCTACGATAGCGAGCTCTCTGTTGCTTAACCGTTAATCCTCTCTTTTGATGCGGAAAGTATTTACAACTCATTTGTTTTAGCTTTTCAAAGAGAGAAAGAGAATGAAAAGATCTCTGTTGCTTCAGTGTCTCAAGCTATTCGTTTCAGAATTCTGTCTTCAGCAGAGTATTAATCGTTAAATCCTTTCATTTGAAGCGGAAAGCATTTACTGCTCATTTTCCTTATCATGCATTTTCAGAGAGAGAGAATGAAAGCCATCTCTGTTGCTCTCTCTACTAGAAATTATTTACTTTATCGTGTCTTAACTGCGATATCGAGGTCTCTATTGCTTAACCGTTAATCCTCTCTTTTGATGCGTAAAGTATTTCCAAGTCATTTGTTTTATAATGCCTTTTCAGAGAGAGATAGGGAGAGAATGAAAGCGATCTCTATTGCTTCGGTGTCTCACTCTAATTGTTTCAGAATTCTGTCTTGAGCAGAGTATTAAGCGTTAAATCCTTTCATTTGAAGCGGAAAGCATTTACTATCATGCATTTTCAGAGAAAGAATGAAAGCCATCTCTGCTGCTCTCTCTACTAGAAGTTATTTGCTTTATCGTGTGTTAACTGCGATATCGAGGTCTCTATTGCTTAACCGTTAATCCTCTCTTTTGATGCGGAAAGTATTTCCAAGTCATTTGTTTTATCATGCCTTTTCAGAGAGAGAGATAGGGAGAGAATAAAAGCGATCTCTATTGCTTCGGTGTCTCACCCTAATTGTTTCACAATTCTGTCTTCAGCAGATTATTAAGCGTTAAATCCTTTCATTTAAAGCGGAAAGCATTTACTACTCATTTGCCTTATCATGCATTTTCAGAGAGAGAGAGAGAATGAAAGCTATATCTGTTGCTTCAGTGTCGCACTCTAGTCTTTTCAGAATTCTCTCTCTTTCGCATAGTATTAATTGTAAAATATTTTCATTTGAAGCAGAAAGAATTTAGTACTCATTTGCTTTAGCATGCCTTTTCAGAGAGAGAGAATGAAAGCTATCTATTGTGCTTCAGTCTCTTACTCTAGTCTTATCAGAATTCTCTCTTCATTAGTATGAGACTTTAATCCTTTCCTTTGAAGCGGAAAGTATTTACTACTCATTTATTTTATCATGTCTTTTCAGAGAGAGAGAGAGAGAGAATGAAAGAGATCTCTGTTGCTTCAGTGTCTCACTAGTCTTTTCAGAATTCTTTCTTCAGCATATGCATTAAAACTTCTTGTAATGTAAAGCAAATATGTGGTTTTGTTCAACCACCTTATTGCCCCAGTAAAAGTGCTGCACCCTACTTTTTACAAGGTTGCTACGATTTTTTTCTTTTAATATGCCCAGAACTAACAAATTTTAAAAGGTTTTAGGCATTATTAACAAAACAACATTCCATCTCTAACATATAAATCGCATTTAAACCTTAAAATATGACCATGACAAAATAAAAAGAAGATTATTAAAAAATAAAAAAAATATATAAAATAAGAACCACTCTAAATAAAGGTAAATACTAGAAAATTTATTTTCTATTAACCTAATATTTAAGAGATTTTAATCCTAAATAAAATTTAAAAATTTCATATTCAAGAAATAAAAAATCTAAAGAAAAGGTAACCTTCCAGTAAACATGTCATTGTTTTTAGTCCTTCAAGTATGAAGCAAAAAAATAATAAAACTAGAACAAATAGCAAAGGAAACGACATTTCTTTAGTTAAAATATATCTTTAGGTAACGAACTAAATTTTATTTTTTTTTTACATTAGTATTTGTTGTACAAAATGCCAAGGTTAGGTTATTCTTAAGATATATACATATGTATATACAATTTCTTATTTCTTTAACTTTTGTTCCTTACATTTTACATACATACATATGTATTTGTATTCTTTTTTTTATGTTTTGCCTGTGTTCTTTAGCAACTAATGTGATTATTGTCATTTTTATTTTCTTTTCTTTCTTTTATACCCCTCGCCATGGCATACTCTATTTTTCCCATTTTGTAATTGTATTTGACTGCGTGACCCAAACGTAACGTTAGGCAAACTTAACACATTTACCCAGATCTGAGTACGTGCCCGGCATCGGCTTAGGCATTGGCAAATGTCCTTATGATCCTGCTGATAATTCAACGGCGGTTTATGTAGAGAAGGGCAATCCCTATGGCTTGCCGGCATTGGTAAGTAGAACAATATAGAAAAAAGAAATGTTTACAATTGTTAAGGGAAAATGAAGAAAATTAAGGTTTGAAGACAATTGTTGATAATCTACTTATTTAACCCATTTCAAGTGGTTTTAAACTCTTGTGAAACCATCTTAATGAGATCGAAATTTTAATAGAATTTATGGGATTTTAAAGGTTATCTTTAATATCACAATATTGTTAATGTAAATGTGAAAAATATCAAAAACTTAATATTTCCTTTCATAAAGTCATCGAAAACTTTGATTTTCTTTTAAAAAATTAGCCATAAATTTAATTTTCTTTAGACAAACATGAAAGTTGTGAATAAACTTACGCATTTATGGAAAATGTTTATATATCTTAGTTAGTTATAGATAACTTCCAGTATAAATTACCTATAACATAGTTATCGATAACTTTCTGTAGAGCTTTTCTATGGCAAAGTTTTCGATAACTTTTTATAGAACTTTTCTTTAAGAAATTTATCGAAAACTTTCTGTTGAACCTTTCTATAGTTTGTCTATCAATCATTTTCTGTAGAAATTTTCTATATGATATCGATAACTTTCTACGAAGCTTTTCGAAAGAAAAGTTATCGACAACTTTCGATAGAAAAGTTATCGATAACTTTATACAGGTTATTTTCTGTTGGAAATTTAAAGTTAACTTTCCGTAGCTCTTTTCTTTAGAACATTTATACATAAAAGTTATCGATAACTTTCCACAGAACATTTTTATAGAAGGTTAATCATTGACATTCTACGGGACATTTATATGGAAAGTTATCGACAACTTTCTAAATACAAGTTCTATAGAAAAGTTTCGATAACATTCTGTAGAACTTTTCTATATATGTATATCGATTACTTTACTTTTCTATTGGAAAGTTATGGATAACATTACTTTTCCATATAAGAGTTATCGATAGCATTAATTTTCTAGACTTTACTTTTTTATAGAAAGTTAAAGAAGTTATCAACAACTTTACTTTTCTATAAAGAAGTTATTGATAGCTTTACTTTTCTCTAGAGAAGTTATCGATATCTTTACTTTTCTATAGAGAAGTTATCAATATCTTTACTTTCCTATAGAGGAGTTACCGATATCTTTACTTGTCTATAGAGAAGTTATCGATAACTTTATTTCTTTATAGAGAAGTTATTGGTAACTTTACTTTTCTATGTAAATGTTATCGATAAATTTACTTTTCTATAGAAAAGTTATCGATAAATTAACTTTTCTATAGAAAAGTTCTCGATAAGTTTACTATGCTATAGGAAAGTTATCGATAAGTTTACTTTTCTGTAGAAAAGTTATCGATAACTTTGCTTTTCTATGGAAAAGTTATCGATAACTATAGAAAAGTTATCGATTACTATCAAAAGAAAGGTATAGTTATCTATAACTTTACTTTTCTATAGAAAAGTTATCGATAACTTAACTTTTCTACAGAAATGTTATCGATAACTTTACTTTTCTAAAGAAAAGTTATCGATAACTTTACTTTTCTATAGAAAAGTTACTGATAACTTTACTTTTCCAAAGAAAACAAAGTTATCGATAACTTTACTTTTCCAAAGAAAACAAAGTTATCGATAACTAAACTGTTCTTTTGAAAGTAATCGATAACTTCACTTTCCTATAGAAAACTTATCGATTATATTATTTTCTTGATCAATGAAAAAAATATTTTGCTCCTGTCCCACTGTGTACCATTCGAAATGGGTTAAATTTTCAATTACATCTCAATTGTGTTTGTTAAACTCACTTTATGACATTTTATTTTACATCTTTTTTCTCTACTTCTCCCTACAGTATTCCGGCACAAATGCCGAATTCACCAAAGCTGATTCAGTTATTTTCCGTTCAGATTTATACAACATGACATCCGGCCGCAAGGAGCATAATTTTAAACGAACTGTTAAATATGATTCCAAATGGTTGGACAGTAAGTATTCACAATAATTAGCTTAAGTTAAAAGGAAGGTTTTAAAGCAAAAATTTTGTATGAAATTATGTTTTATAAATCTACGACAAAATGTTATGAATACGATGCTAAACTTGTTTAAAAACAAAATTAAAATTCATTTATTGTTTTTTCCTTCTCCTCACCTTTTTCAGAACCCAACTTTGTAGGCTCCTTTGACATTGGTGACTATGTGTATTTCTTCTTTCGCGAACATGCTGTGGAATATATCAATTGTGGCAAGGCAATTTATTCACGTATTGCACGTGTGTGTAAAAATGATCGTGGTGGCAAATATATGACCGGACAAAATTGGGCAACATATTTGAAGGCACGCATCAATTGCAGTATATCAAGTGAATTTCCCTTCTATTTCAATGAAATACAATCAGTCTATAAGATGCCACATGATGATACAAAATTCTATGCAACCTTTACAACAAACACTCACGGCATAGTGGGCTCAGCTGTCTGTAGTTACGATATACGCGACATAAATGCCGCTTTTGAAGGTAAGATGAAAGAATTGTATACTAAATTACATACTTTAACGTTAAGGAACAAAAACAAAAAAACAAATAGCATTAAGTTGTAGGAGTAAGAAAAATACATACAGCGAAGTAAAATAAATCCAATAGCATTTTAAAGTAAATGGAGGAGAAAAACCAGGACCATTGTATGTATTTAGTTTAAGGCAGCTGTAGGAGTAGACAAGAATGGCTAGAAATGTGTACGAGAGTATTTGTAACGATTTATTGTACCTGCTATAAATTCTTAAAGTGAAGTTTTTATTTTCCTTTGGCATTTTTTTTTTTTGGGAAAACATCTAAAGCTGTATTATAGTGGTTGTGGCTCCTGAAAGATGTGTTTTATACCTCGACTCGACAACCACCTTTATACACATATGGCTTCAAGTTTAATGGCTTTCCGTGTGTTAGTAAATGGTATTAAGAAAAATGTTGTTACATTTATATTTCTTCTTTTTTTTCTAGATTTTTTTTTTACCATTTTCATACTATTTTTACCAAATCGTTGAACCGTATTACTGTCGCACTAAGAAAATGTTGAATTGTTTAAAAAAATAAGAAAAAAATTGTGCAAAAAAACTTTTTTGATAAAGTTAAAAGTTAATGTTCACGAAATCCTCAACATATACGAAAAAGTCTGCAAAGTTGTATATAGTTTTTGCAAGTGTGTGTTTATAAAAATAATATTAAATTTAAGTCGGATTAAAAGTGAAAAAAATTAAATTTAATAATATGAAACTTTACAATAAAGTGCAATGTAAACGTTTAAGGATTCAAGGGTATGAACTGAAATAAATGTGAAAAAGGAAGGACATTTTAAGCTAAGGAGGTTTGGTAGGGATAACATATTAGGCAAATCTGAGTACATGACCGATATTGGCTTCAGCAACCATAAATGGGTCGGTCATAAAACCATCTGATGATTCAACGAGGGCAACGAGCAACCAACCCGTAGACTAAGCATTATAATAGTCAATAAACTTGTCAATAGTCTAGTCAATAGATAGGACAGTAGAACAGTATACAGGCTAGTAAATAGGCTAATTGCTAGATAGCTCAACTGATTTGTTCAATATATTACTTCATAGACTAGTCCATAGAATAGTACAGTAGGAACCAGTTCATTGGCTAGTCAATAGGTTCATATATACACTGGCCAATAGACTGCTCTATAAACTAGCCCATAGTCCAGTTCATAGACTAGTCAATAGACTAATCAATAAACTAGTTAATAGACTAGTCCATAGACTTGTCAATAGACTAGTCCATATACTAGTCAATAGACTAGTCAATAAACTAGTCCATATACTAGTCAGTAGACTAATCAATAAACTAGTCAATTGATTAGTCAGTAGACTAGTAATTACACTAGTACATAGACCAGTCCATGGACAGCTAATAAGCCCATAGATTATTCAATAGATTGATCTATAGATTAGTCAACAGACATATTCGTAGACCAGTTAATATACCGTTCCATAAACTGTTAAATATTCTGTTAAATAGATCGGTCCATAAGGTAGTGCATGGTCAATAGACCATAGACTGTTTAAAAAACTAGTCAATAGGTTAATCTATAGACTATATAATACGCCAGTTAATAGACTAGTAAATATACTATGCAATAGGGTTTTCCATAAACTGGTGCATGGACTAGTCAATTGCCCATAGACCGGTAAAGAGACCAGTCCATACATTAACCAATCAATATACTTAATCTATAGTCAACAGATTAATGGTTTGATTAGTCCATAGTCTAAGTAATAAGCTAGTTCCTAGACTAGTCAGTAGTCTAGTCAATACACTAGCCCATAAACTAGTTAATATAAAGATAGATTAGTCAACAGACATGTTCATAGGCCAGTTAATAGATCGTTCGATAGACTGTTAAATATTCTATTAAATAGATCAGTCTATAAGGTAGTGCATGGACTGTTAAACTGTTTAAAAAAACTAGTTAATAGGTTAATCTATAGACTATATAATACGCCAGTTAATAGACTAGTAAATATACTATGCAATAGGGTTATCCATAAACTGATGCATGGACTAGTCAATTGATTATATACCGGTTAATAGACCAGTCCATATATTAACCAATCAATATACTTAATTTATAGTCAACAGATTAATGGTTTGATTAGTCCATAGTCTAAGTAATAAGCTAGTTCATAGAGTAGTCAGTAGTCTAGTCAATACACTAGCCCATAAACTAGTTAATATAAAGATAGATTAGTCAACAGACATGTTCATAGGCCAGTTAATAGACCGTTCCATAGACTGTTAAATATTCTATTAAATAGATCAGTCCATTAGGTAGTGCATGGACTAATTAATAGACCATAACTAGTCAATAGGTTAATCTATAGACTATATAATACGCCAGTTAATAGACTTGTAAATATACTATGCAATAAGGTTATCCGTAAACTGGTGCATAGACTAGTTAATTGACCACAGACCGGTTAATAGACCAGTCCATATATTAACCAATCAATATACTTAATCAACCTTCAACAGATTAATCGATTGATTAGTCCATAGTCTAAGTAATCAGCTAGTTCATAGACTAGTCAGTAGTCTAGTCAAAACACTAGCCCATAAACTAGTTAATATAAAGACTAGTTTATAGACTAATCCATATACTAGTCAATATAGTAGAATCCTAAACCTACTAGTCCATAGACTGGTCCTTAAACTAGTCCATAGATTTCATAATTTACATGACAATAAGCAAGTCCACACATCAGTAAAATATGGGTTTAAAAGCCACATATTTTATTAGTTGACCTAGTTATTATGATAATGTTTGCCAAAAATTCTCACTAATACTTTGTACCTTAAGAAACTGCAACAAAAGAACTAAAAGATACATTTTATTTATATTTTATTTTGTTTATAATATTAGTCCTTCTCTACGTTATAAGTCAAACAACAAAATACAACACACGTTTAATGTTAAAAACACGTGACATTTACACATGTTTTTTATTTTGTTTGCAATAAAAAAAACGGCAACTTTTTACACGGAAAAATCCAGGAAAACAGTTTCATGTATAATTTTGAAAACAAGTTTTGTTGTTTTTTTTTTTTTGGAGGTTCTGTTTGCTTTTTCTTTATGTATTGTTATGGTATAAACAACTTTTACTATGCCTTGTAATATGCATGTTCGAGCATGCACTTCATGTCACATTTGCATGAACCCATGAAATAAGAATTGTATAAAAATACATACATATATTTAAACATCCATATGTATACATATACCAGTTATAAAGAATTGTATATAAATGCATTATTTTACATAAAAATAAAAGAAAAATAAGTGAAATAAATTTTAAAAGAAAAATATATACACAAATACAATCATACGTTTTAACACACTTATTTAAAGTGAAATTTAATAGGGTGGAATTTAGTTTTGTTGAGAAATTTTTCTTTTTTCATATAAAGAGCTTTGACTCCTTAATTTATCCCATGGTTAAGATATTTCGGTACTTCAAAGACTTTTACCACTAGATCGCAGCTAGTGGTAAAAGTCTTTACCAATTTGAAGCACACATCTTAACTGTTTTGCAGAAAGTTAGCTCGATTCTTTCGTATTACTTGTAGTGGTTAATGATGGTTTGGACATCATCGCAGAGACTTCGGTGTCCTTATTGGAACTATTTAAAGATTTCAATTTACGAATCAAAGTAAGTTATATCTTTGTTCTTGGCAAGTCTAACCTTGGAGTCCTGATCAATACCTATCACATATGAAAAAAAGTCCTATTTCATATATGAAAAACTTCCGACTTTTCCTTATTGCCCAAAATGCTTAAGAAAATGCTTATTCGATGAATATCATTCTTCGCGACCAGTTCTAGCTTAGCGCGTCCTAGGGAGGAGGGATAAAAGTTCTTTAGGATCCGATTGGTGTGAACCTTCTGAAATCAATCTTATTGGTTGTTTGCCTTTAGAATTGATAGCATGGTCCTTTATATTATTGTTAAACAGATCTTCTAGCTTACTGTACTGGACTATGGTATTGGTCACCGTCATTGTATATTGTAAAACAGTGATTATTCTGCTGTTTCCTTTTTGCTATTAGCTTCTTTAATCGCATTGATACACAGAGGGAAAAAGAAATATACACACCTGGTACCAAATTGACACCAAACATGGTAAGATCACTATAGGCAACGGATTGTTTGTCAATAGTGAGCTTACCACGTTTGTTAACATTTAGACAACGGATGTGTATAAAATTTAGATTTTGACAACGAATTGTTGCAATGTTGCCAACATTATATAGTGTTGTCGTACGTATGTATATACTTTGACAACGGATGGTATTGAAAAATTATAAACAGTTTGGTGTCAATTTGGTACCAGGCGTGTATCTCTGTAGGGTCTTCTTTACAGACACCCTTTCCTACGAGGTTAATTTGGTTGCCTTCATAGGTGATTGCTTGACTTTATCTCCCCGGGATTGTAGTATTCAAACTGGAGACTCCCTCGAAAAAGCTTAGCTTTAGTTCTTTTTCTTCTTGGATAGTCTCTCAGTGATCTAGTTCCTTTTGCCTTAGAGGTTAAGGGAGAATGCAATGTATTCCATGGAGTTTCCTAGGATCGACGACTGGAGACTTTTTTATCTTCTTGGATATGCGCTCAGTGTTCAGCTCCTCTAGCGAACTTAGTTATCTTTGCTTTAAAGCTTAAGAGAAAATACAATGTTTCCTTCAAAGGGTCCTGGGATTGATCCGATATAAGCTTCTGGACCATATTCTTTAACTTTCTTCTCAGTGCTATACCATTAACCGCTTTCACCATTGACAATACTTCATCGTAGTTGGGATTATGTATGATTGGGATTGACTCGATATGAGCTTCTGGACCATATTCTTCAACTTCCTCCTCACCATCATTGACCTCTTTCACCACCATTCACAATACTTCATCGTATTTGCTATTAGGTTTGATTGTGTTGTTATTATTGTCTGAGGATAGAGAGTCGGAACACTATCCCGTAATAAAATTCAGAGCTTTCTTAGAGCTCTATCCAAGCACATCCTTCTCTTTTACCATTACATTTTGCCAGTATACTTGACGCATCGTAGTTGGGATTATGTATGATTGCGATTGACTCGATATGAGCTTCTGCATCATATTCTTCAACTTCCTCCTCAGTGCTTTGTCATTGAGCTCTTTCATCATTCACAATACTTCATCGTAGTTGGGATTATATATGATTGTGTTGTTATTATAATCTAAGGATTCAGAGATTTCTTAGAGTTCTATCCAAGTACATCCTTCTCGTTTACCTTTACATTTTACCAGAGGTATGCTGTACACTTGACGCATTGTTCGCCATGGAGGCAAAGGTATTTACGATTGCTGGACGAAGACTTAACATGACTCGCGAATCAGATCAATATTCGTCGCCGGTGCTGGGTTGTTTAGGATCTGCCTCAATGTTCACCCTTTAAACGTTCGAATTCCAAAAACTACTATTTCCGAGCCACGAGCTTGTTACGAATCTTCAACAAATTCTAAAAAAAAAATTAAGAAATACATCCCTAATACTTATACTATATGTTTAAAACATACAGTATACAAAACGCAACAAAACAAAACTTTCAGAAACAGTTATTTTCATTCATTTTATATTATTATTTTTTTTTTAACATTAACGGAAACGGAAAGCATTGTATGTGGCATAAAGCAATGGGAAAATTAAAGTGTTATACTACATACATACATACACGATAGCAGTGTAGAGAAATTGCTTATTTACTGCAAGAAAGTGATAACTCAAAAAATATTTTTTGATAAAAAACTAATAAGATTGATTGATAAAATATTAAACTATAAGAAAAACTTTAAAAAACCGGAATATAGTAAAAGTTTGAATTTGGAGTTATAACATTTTTGAAATAAACCAGCGATATGTAGCATTGAATGAAGAAAAGAAATAAAATTAAAATGCATAAACTGCATTTAAATTGTATTTTATTGTTGATTTCATTTTAAAGTATGCTTAAGAAAGTCGAGAAAAAAAACGCTAAGGTGTTGACATGTTATTTTTATATTTCTCAAGACTTAATGGGAATTTTAATTTAGAACATAGTTTTTGAATTATTTTTTATGAATTGCAAAATTTAAGCTTCAACTATTATGAATTTTATTTTCCATTAAATATCCTTTAAATATGTTTTCTATTCTTTACAGGTAAATTTAAAGAACAGGCAACATCCAATTCTGCCTGGTTGCCGGTTTTAAATTCTAAAGTTCCTGAGCCACGTCCCGGTACTTGTGTAAATGATACATCTGCTTTGCCCGATATGGTGTTGAATTTTATACGTAAACATCCCTTAATGGATAAAGCTATCGATCATGAATTTGGCAATCCAGTATTTTATAAACGTGATATTATCTTGACCAAATTGGTTGTGGACAAGTAAGTAGTATATAACGAACGATTTATTTATTTTATGTTCTTTTTCAGCTTGTCTTCTTCAAAACCCATTTATTTCACTTCCCTTTATACTCAAGCATTTGGTTATTTTTTTTCTGTTGCTGCTGTGGCATGAATTTTATAAACGACTTTTTTGTGGTGAAGAATTTAAGAACAAAAATTTTTTTATATTGTATTTCAGTCAGTCTGTTTGTTTGTTTGTTTAAATACGAAAAGAAAGTAGAAGAACAAAAACGAAATATTTATGGTATAATGGTTTATACAATGACTTGTGTTGAATAAAGAAACTACAAGCAGCAACAACAACAGTATGTAGAATCTTTTATAGTTTTTCTGTAATGTTGCCAAAAACAAAAGTTTTATGCCACACACAAAAATATTCGTTCGCTTAACAAAGAAAAAATAGTCCAAAAAAAAAAAAGAAAGAAAATATAAAAAGAGTCAAGGGGTTTTGCAGGCAATGCAATTGTAATCAAAAATAACCAAGTGAGCAGAAAATATAAATTTAATATTTAAATTTTCCTATAAAATAAAAGAAAAACAACTCTTAAATGTTATTAAGAAAATGCTATACGGGGAATTGAATTGTTAACAATTACTACTGTGGCTTTTATGCCAAAAGGAGGCAGTAAAGTTTTGTTGTAACAGGCTGTAATAAAAATTAATAATTTGTAAAGAGTTTTAATTAAATTATATGAATATGGTTTTAATTTAAGTATATGATTAAATACAATTATAAAGCAAACCAAAAAAAAACTCTATAAAACTGTAAGCAATTTTGTAATACTGTAAGAAAGTTTTTCTTTCAAAAAATGTGCTCCTTAGATATTACAATGTAAGAGAATATAGGGAGAATGACAGAACTATGATTAGAAGATAAAACATACATACGTAAGAAGTTGCTTCTAATTGATAACTACAAGACTAGCTCATTTTTTGAGGTCAAGAACAAATCAACTAAATTTCGGATAACCTGTTCTGAAAAGAAGCGTATTACAGAGAGAGCGTTCTGCATAGATCAAAGTATGTTGGACGGGGTGCATGTCCAAAAAGGTGTATTTTGTATTCAAAATTCAAAATTACTTTTCCGCTATTTAACTCAAAACAAATCTACTAAAGAGTCTTTTGACTTGTAAATGAACTGATCTATTATCCGATCTGTAGTCTATTAACTACTCCATGGACCTTTCTATTGACTAGTCAATTCAGAATCTATTAAAAATTCAAAATTACTTTTCCACTTTTTTAGCTAAAGACAAGTCTACTAAAGAATGTTTTGCTTTGTAAATGAACTAGTCTATTGTTCGATATGTAGTCTATTAACTAGTCTGTTCAAAAACTAATAAGATATAATATCTTTCTATTGTCCTATCTATAGTCTATTAACTACTCTATGGAATGTTGTATTGAATTGTCCATTCAGAATCGAATAAGAATGTCCAGGTCCAAAAAAGTAATTTGTATTAAAAACTCAAAAATACTTTTCTACTTTTTAGCTAAAGACAAGTATACTAACGAATGTTTTGTTTTGTAAATGAACTGGTCTATTGTCCGATCTGTAGTCTAATAACTACTCCATGCACTGTTGTATTGACTAGTATATTCAAAATTTAATAAGAGATAAGACCTTTCTGTCTATATATGGCTTAAATTCAGATTCGCAGCTTCGGCGAGCTTTACATAGGTCCAAGTTATGACTCAAAACAAATATGAGTACTTAGTTAGTTAGTTAGTTAGTTAGGTAGTTAGTTAGTTAGTTAGTTAGTTAGTTAGTTAGTTAGTTTTTAGTTAGTTAGTTAGTTAGTTAGTTTTGTTAGTTTAGTTAGTTAGTTAGTTAGTTAGTTAGTTCGTTCGTTCGTTAGTTCGTTCGTTAGTTCGTTCGTTTCGTTCGTTTAGTTCGTTCGTTCGTTCGTTTCGTCGTTCGTTCGTTTGTTTCGTTCGTTCGTTTCGTTCGTTCTTCGTTCGTTCGTTCGGTTCGTTCGTTCGTTCTTCGTTCGTTAGTTCGTTCGTTCTTAGTTCGTTCGTTTCGTTCGTTCGTTCGTCGTTCGTTCGTTCGTTCGTTCGTTCTTCGTTCGTTCGTTCGTTCGTTCGTTCGTTCAGTTCGTTCGTTTTCTTCGTTCGTTCGTTTCGTTCGTTCGTTCGTTCGTTTTTTTCGTTCGTTTTCGTTCGTTCGTTTCGTTCGTTCGTTCGTTGTTCGTTCGTTCGTTCGTTCGTTCGTTCGTTCGTTCGTTCGTTCGTTCGTTCGTTCGTTCGTCGTTCGTTCGTTCGTTCGTTCGTTCGTTCTTATTCGTTCGTTCGTTCGTTCGTTGTGCGTTCGTTCGTTCGTTATTAGTTCGTTCGTTAGTTCGTTCGTTCGTTCGTTCGTTCGTTCGTTCGTTCGTTCGTTCGTTCTTCGTCCGTTCGTTCGTTCGTCGTTCGTTCAGTATCGTTGTTCGTTCATTCGTTCGTTGCGTTCGTTCGTTCGTTCGTTCGTTCGTTCGTTCGATTCGTTCGTTCGTTCGTTCGTTCGTTCGTTCGTTCGTTCGTTCGTTCGTTCGTTCGTTCGTTCGTTCGTTCGTTCGTTCGTTCGTTCGTCGTTCGTTCGTTCGTTCGTTCGTTCGTTCGTTCGTTCGTTCGTTCGTTACGTTCAGTTCGTTTGTTCGTTCGGTCGTTCGTTCGTTCGTTCGTTCGTTCGTTCGTTCGTTCGTTCGTTCGTTCGTTTCGTTCAGTTCGTTCGTTCGTTCGTTCGTTCGTTTTCGTTCGTTCGTTCGTTCGTTCGTTCGTTCGTTCCGTTCGTTCGTTCGTTCGTTCGTTCGTTCGTTCGTTCGTTCGTTCGTTCGTTCGTTCGTTCGTTCGTTCGTTCTGTTCGTTCGTTCCGTTCTGTTCGTTCGTTCGTTAGTTCGTTTCGTTCGTTCGTTCGTTCGTTCGTTCGTTCGTCGTTCGTTCGTTCGTTTCGTTCGTTTTCGTTCGTTCGTTCGTTCGTTCGTTCGTTCGTTTCGTTCGTTCGTTCGTTCGCGTTCGTTCGTTCGTTCGTTCGTTGTTCGTTCGTTCGTTCGTTCGTTCGATCGTTCGTTCGTTCGTTCGTTCGTTCGTTCGTTCGTTCGTTCGTTCGTTCGTTCGTTCGTTTTTCGTTCGTTCGTTCGTTCGTTCGTTCGTTCGTTCGTTCGTTCGTTCGTTCGTTTCGTTCGTTCGTTCGTTCGTTCGTTCGTTCGTTCTTCGTTCGTTCGTTTTCGTTCGTTCGTTCGTTCGTTCGTTGTTTCGTTCGTTCGTTCGTTCGTTCGTTCGTTCGTTCGTTCGTTCGTTCGTTTCGTTCGTTCTTCGTTCGTTCGTTCGTTCGTTCGTTCGTTCGTTCGTTCGTTCGTTCTTCGTTCGTTCGTTCGTTCGTTCGTTCGTTCGTTCGTTCGTTCGTTCGTTCTTTCGTTCGTTCGTTCGTTCGTTCGTTCGTTCGTTCGTTCGTTTCGTTCGTTCGTTCGTTCGTTCTTTCGTTCGTTCGTTCGTTCGTTTTCGTTCGTTCGTTCGTTCTTTCGTTCGTTCTTCGTTCGTTCGTTCTTCGTTCGTTCGTTCGTTCTTCGTTCGTTCGTTCGTTCGTTCGTTCTCTTTCTTTCTTCGTCCCTCGGTGTCTTTCTTCGGCCCTTTTTCTGTCCCTCTCCTTCCTCCTTCCCCCTTCCTACCTGGTTGGTTAGCTAGTCCCTGGACCATTGAAACTGGCTAAATTAGTTCTTTGCTAATCGTTTTCCAAGTTTTCTACGTCTATGTTTTGCTGGGTTATCACTTTGGTCTTTAAATACTTGACCCTTTTTATTTTGTTGTTGCTTTCTTCTCATTCTCTGTTGTTGGTTTGCTTTTGAAATATGTCCTTGTTGACCAAGTTCATTTAAGAAAAGATTATTTTTTTTTCTCGCAAATGTGTGTGTGTATTTTTTTTAGCTTTGAAATGTTTTTGTAGTAGTTGTGTGACTTATGTTAATGGTTCTTGGGGTAATGTTTTTTAAATAACCGAAAATTACAGTAATTTGAGAATGTTTCTTTTTCCCATTCCTTCTTTGGCAACTTTAACAAGTATAAATGTTTTTTGTATGCTGACTTTTTCGGAAAGTCCAAAAAAAAGATACACAAACTTAAGTGGAACAAGAGAAATTATATATTTTTTACAAATACATTTTTAAACTTAAATTTCAAAGAATTTTTGCTAAAGATTAAAATTAAAGCCGCAAAAGAAAAAACAAATTTGCCAACTTAAACATTAAGAAAAAAAAAACTTAAAATAATAAGAACTTTGTCTTCGTTTTAATCTTAACTAAATTGGGTTAAACTTAAAGCATTAAAATTGTTGTCAAGCTAGTTAAACTAAAACTTAAAAGGGTTTAACAAGATTTAAAATGTACAAAAAAATTAAAACTTTTAATTAAATGTTCTATGTATGTTTATCTTATTTTATTTACAGAATACGCATTGACAAACTGAATCAAGAATATTTAGTGTATTTTATTGGCACAGCCGCTGGTAATATTTATAAAATCGTACAATTTATACGTTATGGTCGGCGTCATTCGAATCTTTTGGATATCTTGGAAGTATCGAACAATGAGCCAATACGTGAAATGGGCATAAGTCAAAAGACCGGTTCATTGTATTTGGCTACAGATCATGTGGTAAAACAAATCGATTTGGCAATGTGTGTAAGACGTTATGATTCGTGTTTCCGTTGTGTCGCCGATCCATATTGCGGTTGGGATAAAGATGCTGGCATTTGCAAGCCATATCAATTGGGTTTACTGCAGGTGAGTGTGTTAAAAGAGGGCTGACGACTAGTAGATGTTAAATGTTATTATACGATAATATGACAATTGCTTTAAAATTTTATTTGCGAAACATAAATTCCATTTAATTTTGGCTTCTCTTTTTCTTTTTCTTCTTTTCATAGGATGTTGCCAACGAAACATCCGGCATTTGTGATACCAGTGTTTTAAAGAAACGTATTACAGCTTCATATGGCCAAACATTACATTTGTCATGTTTTGTTAAAGTTCCAGAAGTTCTAAAACAAAAAACAGTTAGATGGTATCATCATTCAACAGAAAAAGGACGGTAAGTCACTGACATTCGTATGTCACATAAAAAATTTAGTTTATATCTGAAACTGCAAAAAAAATACATAGAAGACAATTTACTGTTAAGTAGAGTTTAGTTTTAGAAAAATACTCACATATAGATAGTTGAATTCAATTTGTTTTGTTTAGATTTTTTCTAACGGTCATTGAACTTTTTTCATGTGGACTAAGTAATATAATATTAATATTTTATTTCAATTGATTTTTGTTAGAGAAACTGCTCCTTTAGAGTTTAAATTGGATTTAAAGTTTGAAACATCTTAAATAAATGTGAAGAGAAGAAAATGTTGGAATCAATAGGGTAGCCCATATATTGAGTCAAAAATTTTGTATGTAGACTTGTAACTTATTCTGGATCAATTCTGGATCAGTTCTGGATCAGTTCTAGTTCAGTTCTAGTTCAGTTCTAGTTCAGTTCTAGTTCAGTTCTAATTCAGTTCTAATTCAGTTCTAGTTCAGTTCTAGTTCAGTTCTAGTTCAGTTCTAGTTCAGTTCTAGTTCAGTTTTAGTTCAGTTCTAGTTCAGTTCTAGTTCAGTTCTAGTTCAGTTCTAGTTCTAGTTCAGTTCTAGTTCTAGTTCAGTTCTAGTTCATTCTAGTTCAGTTCTAGTTCAGTTCTAGTTCAGTTCTAGTTCAGTTCTAGTTCAGTTCTAGTTCAGTTCTAGTTCAGTTCTAGTTCAGTTCTAGTTCAGTTCTAGTTCAGTTCTAGTTCAGTTCTAGTTCAGTTCTAGTTCAGTTCTAGTTCAGTTCTAGTTCAGTTCTAGTTCAGTTCTAGTTCAGTTCTAGTTCAGTTCTAGTTCAGTTCTAGTTCAGTTCTAGTTCAGTTCTAGTTCAGTTCTAGTTCAGTTCTAGTTCAGTTTCTAGTTCAGTCTAGTTCAGTTCTAGTTCAGTTCTAGTTCAGTTCTAGTTCAGTTCTAGTTCAGTTCTAGTTCAGTTCTAGTTCAGTTCCATACATTAAGTCAAAAATTTTGTATGTAGACTTGTAACTTATTCTAGATCAGTTCTAGTTCGGTTCTAGTTCGGTTCTAGTTCAGTTCTAGTTCAGTTCTAGTTCAGTTAGTTCAGTTCTAGTTCAGTTCAGTTCGATTCAGTTCTAGTTCAGTTCTAGTTCAGTTCTAGTTCAGATTTCTAGTTCAGTTCTAGTTCAGTTCTAGTTCAGTTCTAGTTCAGTTCTAGTTTCGTTCTAGTTCAGTTCTAGTTCAGTTCTAGTTCAGTTTCCTAGTTCATTTCTAGTTCAGTTCTAGTTCAGTTTAGTTCAGTCTAGTTCAGTTCTAGTTCAGTTCTAGTTCAGTTTCTTCAGTTCTAGTTCAGTTTCTACTTCACGTCCTAGTTCAGTTCTAGTTCAGTTCTAGTTCAGTTCTAGTTCAGTTCTAGTTCAGTTCTAGTTCAGTTCTAGTTCAGTTCTAGTTCAGTTCTAGTCAGTTCTAGTTCAGTTCTAGTTCAGTTCTAGTTCAGCAGTTCTAGTTCAGTTCTAAGTCAGTTCTAGTTCAGTTCTAGTTCAGTTCTAGTTCAGTCTAGTTCAGTTCTAGTTCAGTTCTAGTTCAGTTCTAGTTCAGTTCTAGTTCAGTTCTAGTTCAGTTCTAGTTCAGTTCTAGTTCAGTTCTAGTCAGTTCTAGTTCAGTTCTAGTTCAGTTCTAGTTCAGTTCTAGTTCAGTTCTAGTTCAGTTCTAGTTCAGTTCTAGTTCAGTTCTAGTTCAGTTCTAGTTCAGTTCTAGTTCAGTTCTAGTTCAGTTCTAGTTCAGTTCTAGTTCAGTTCTAGTTCGTAGTTCAGTTCTAGTTCAGTTCTAGTTCAGTTCTAGTTCAGTTCTAGTTCAGTTCTAGTTCAGTTCTAGTTCAGTTCTAGTTCAGTTCTAGTTCAGTTCTAGTTCAGTTCTAGTTCAGTTCTAGTTCAGTTCTAGTTCAGTTCTAGTTCAGTTCTAGTTCAGTTCTATTTCAGTTCTAGTTCAGTTCTGGTCTTGGTCTAATTCTGTGCTATAATGTATTTCATCATCTAGTCCTTTAAAGAGTAAACTTTAATATTGAAAGAAAAATATATATTTTACAGAGTTGGTTTAATACATAATACAGTCTCTTTTGAAAATAATGTTAACCTTCTTATCTTTAAAAAAAATTTATTTAAAAATACACAAATAATTTCCAATGAAATGAAATAAAAATATTTGACACCTAATACTGGTATTAACTTTTAAACATCATTTTAAAGACAATCAAATTACAAACAAAAAAAATTTTGAACCCTTAAGTAAATGTAGAAACACAGACAATCCGTAACCAAGTGAAGTAAATATATTTATATCAGTGATAAAACAAAAATACTTCATACCAATAACAATCATAATAAAATTGCGAAAATTTTAAATTGAAAAGTTCGATATGCTGTCTAAACAGCAACAAGATTTTTTTTTTAAATATGTACTTGAACAACTGTAACAGGAGTAACAGCAGTTAGTATCCTTATAAACACCTACATGCAAAATATTTTTTTTTAAATAACCAACGGTTTTATCAGGTCTCATGTTTCCCTTTTATACAGTATTTACATCTTTCTGGTTTATTTGTCATGATATTAGTGAATATTTAGGCCGTAATCGATGTGTTGTGTAGTGATTTTAGTGACTGAAAGGATAACACTTCGTACTGCAGGGTTAAAAAACACAATTTTATTAAAGAAATATACAAATTTATTTATTTACTGATAAATTTACAAATACGACTACAATACAACTTGCCTACATATAGACATACATATGGATGTACATATGTATATGAAAAAAGAAATAAGTATTGCTGTTTTTTCATAAGGATTTCAAAAACCAACACAGTCAGTCTGTTTAAAAGCATTCTAAAGAAAACAAAAATTTAAAAAAGCATAAACTGTTGAAACACATTTTAAAGTGTCAATTTACCGCTTTAATGCCAAATATAACGTTTTCTGCTTTTACCTAAAATGTTTCTTTCCCTTTTCTGCACCCGCTTCATAAACAACATTTGAATTGAATTTATTTGGGAAAAAAAGAACAAATGTATTTACTTCTATTCCTTATGTACTTTTTTCTAGCATAAATATAATCTAAAAGCATCATCAGTTACATTTCCGTTGTCATTATAAAAGTATTGTATGTTTATTATTGTTACTCGAAATATTTGAATTTAACTAAAGCTTTTTTCAGTGAGTGAAATAGAGGTTGAGTAAGAAAAGGAACAAAAAATTTGATTATAACTTCATTACAACTTTTGAGAATTTATGTATAAAGTTACATCTGCTGTCTTTGAGTATGGTTTTTATTGAGATTTCAAAATATTTTTACATACATATGAAATGCTCTATATTTGGCATTGATAGTTAGAATATTATTTTAATACCCTCTATAAAGTATATCGTTTGTCGTCATGTTTGTCTTGATGTCTGTAACATCCAAAATTATTGGTCCTACACCTATCTAAACGTTTGGTATACTCCGAATCCATTTCTAAGTCGATTAAGCTATGTCTGTCTGTCTGCATGTCTGTCTGTCTGTCTGTCTGTCTGTCTGTCTTCTGTGTGTCTATCCATGTAAACCTTGTGCGCAATCAATTTCTAAGTCGATTAAGCTCTGTCTGTCTTTCTGACTGTATGTCTGTCTGTCTGTCCGTCTGTCTGTCTGTCTGTCTGTCTGTCTGTCTGTCTGTCTGTCTGTCTGTCCGTCTGTCTGTCTGCCTGTCTGTCTGTCTGTCTGTCTGTCTGTCTGTCTGTCTGTCTGTCTGTCTGCCTGTCTATCCATGTAAACCTTGTTCGCAATTTTCAAGAAATCGGTCCATTATTTTACATAGCCTTCATACATAGCTACTTTAAACAACTTAAATGTTTTATACTATCAATGTAAAACACTTTAACTTTTCTCTCCATAATAAATGCTTACAATAACTAGAATCTAAATCTTCTCACAATAAGTACACTTCATTTTCTCTATTCATTTAACACTGAAGAGTAGTATTAAATAAATAAGTTTAACAAATAATTAGTGTATAGAAAATTCGTTCTTGACCTACTAAAATACATGCCCATTCACTATGTGAAACAAAATACTTGTTAAAAAAAAGAGAAAATTTGTTTTCATTTAAATACATATCAATAGCATACTTTATCGCAAACTCTCAACCTACAAACTGGGTAATAGAAAGAGGACAAGTAGAAAAAACAACACAAATTTTCAGTTTATAAATATCTAGGGGTGAGTTAAGTTAGATGATTACAAGCATCTCTTTAATATACTTCACTGAATTTACAAAATCTTAAGTATTTATTTAATATCAATGACAAAATAATAAAATATTTTCTTTCTTTCTTCTTCTATTACAATATTTTCCTTCTAACACTTATGAAGGATTTATTATTATTATTTTGTTATTAAAACGTAATCATTTTCCATGTGTCTATCTAAATTTTTGCTTATAAACAAGAGTGTCAAAAAATATGCCAAAAAAAAAATTTGCATATGTTTAGGGGTAAGGGGAGAGTTTATACTTTAGGGTGGTTGTTTGTGTGTTTGAAGTTACAATTTCATTGTAATTTTTTTTATTCGAAAATATTTTGTATGTTAGATTAGAAATTAATTTGTTACAGTACTCAAAATGTCACCCTTGGTTGTCAAGTATTTAAAAAACAATTTATTATTCATATTACAAATTTGATTTGTTCTGGTATATTTTTGCAAAGCGCAAATTTATTATTTATTAAATAATAATACATTCTCCGGTTTGTGTGTGTTTACGAATTTTTGCCGACTCATGTTCTGTATAATTTTGGTAGTAACTTTTCGAAGGATTTATGATGAAGAGAAAATAAGCAATTTGTATGTATATGATATCCTGCAAGGATACTTATTTAATTGTCAAAGAACCATTTTGAAAATTTAATTTTATACAAATTTTATGAACCTATTTCGGATCAAGAATAAGGATATATGTATATGCTGTTCAAGTTGAATTCTAATTCAGTTCTAGTTCAGTTCTAGTACAGTTCTAGTTCAGTTCTAGTTCTAGTTCAGTTCTAGTTCAGTGCTAGTTCAGTTCTAGTTCAGTTCTAGTTCAGTTCTAGTTCAGTTCTAGTTCAGTTCTAGTTCAGTTCTAGTTCAGTTCTAGTTCAGTTCTAGTTTAGTCCTAGTTCAGTTCTAGTTCAGTTCTAGTTCAGTTCTAGTTCAGTTCTAGTTCAGTTCTAGTTCAGTTCAAGTTCAGTTCTAGTTCAGTTCTAGTTCAGTTCTAGTTCAGTTCTAGTTCAGTTCTAGTTCAGTTCTAGTTCAGTTCTAGTTCAGTTCTAGTTCAGTTCTAGTTCAGTTCTATTTCAGTTCTAGTTCAGTTCTAGTTCAGTTCTAGTTCAGTTCTAGTTCAGTTCTAGTTCAGTTCTAGTTCAGTTCTAGTTCAGTTCTAGTTCAGTTCTAGTTCAGTTCTAGTTCAGTTCTAGTTCAGTTCTAGTTCAGTTCTAGTTCAGTTCTAGTTCAGTTCTAGTTCAGTTCTAGTTCAGTTCTAGTTCAGTTCTAGTTCAGTTCTAGTTCAGTTCTAGTTCAGTTCTAGTTCAGTTCTAGTTCAGTTCTAGTTCAGTTCTAGTTCAGTTCTAGTTCAGTTCTAGTTCAGTTCTAGTTCAGTTCTAGTTCAGTTTTCTAGTTCAGTTCTAGTTCAGTTCTAGTTCAGTTCTAGTTCAGTTCTAGTTTCAGTTCTAGTTCAGTCTAGTTCAGTTCTAGTTCAGTTCTAGTTCAGTTCTAGTTCAGTTCTAGTTCAGTTCTAGTTCAGTTCTAGTTCAGGTTCTAGTTCAGTTCTAGTTCAGTTCTAGTTCGTTCTAGTTCAGTTCTAGTTCAGTTCTAGTTCAGTTCTAGTTCAGTTCTAGTTCAGTTCTAGTTCAGTTCTAGTTCAGTTCTAGTTCAGTTCTAGTTCAGTTCTAGTTCAGTTCTAGTTCTAGTCAGTTTCTAGTTCAGTTCTAGTTCAGTTCTAGTTCAGTTCTAGTTCAGTTCTAGTTCAGTTCTAGTCAGTTCTAGTTCAGTTCTAGTTCAGTTCTAGTTCAGTTCTAGTTCAGTTCTAGTTCAGTTCTAGTTCAGTTCTAGTTCAGTTCTAGTTCAGTTCTAGTTCAGTTCTAGTTCAGTTCTAGTTCAGTTCTAGTTCAGTTCTAGTTCAGTTCTAGTTCAGTTCTAGTTCAGTTCTAGTTCAGTTCTAGTTCAGTTCTAGTTCAGTTCTAGTTCAGTTCTAGTTCAGTTCTAGTTCAGTTCTAGTTCAGTTCTAGTTCAGTTCTAGTTCAGTTCTAGTTCAGTTCTAGTTCAGTTCTTGTTTAGTTCTAGTTCAGTTCTAATGCAGTTCTAGCTTAGTTCAGATATCAGATTTATTTTAAATAAATTCGATTTTATTATACAGCTCTTAAGTTTTCTTTTAGAAAATACATATAAAAAAACTTGTTAAAATAAATCATTTACGTAAAATATTGTTTTTTATAATAAATCTTTTGGTTTTCCCTTTTAGTTATGAAATTGGCTATACGCCCTCGAAATACATTGAAACATCTGAGGGTGGTCTCGTTATTATATCAATTAATGAAGGCGATGGTGGACGCTACGACAGTTATCTAGATGGTACGCTGCTGTGCAGTTACAGTGTAAATGTGGATGCCCACAGGTAAGATGCTTTTTTCAATTATAATTACAATTTCTTTTTTGGTATTGATTGAAAAAATGAGAAACTATGAAAGCACAGCCTTAAGAAATAAGGTCTTTAAAAGTAGACAAAAATACCAGGAAATCAGCTTAATTTTTTGAGTTTTTCCTGCACTTGGTTTATATCATGTTGTTAAAAAACGGTAAATGCTATTGTTTCTGTTGTTTTATTTAGCAAAAAGAAAATAATCTTATGCTAAAGCACGTTCCTTTTAAAATTTTCTTAAAACTTTTCTGTTTTTTTTATTTTGTTTATTTCTTGATATTTCGCTATTATATTAAAAATATATTTTTAAGTTTTTTATTTGCCTTTGCTATTTTTGTATGTATGTTGATGTTTTTTATCGATTTCCTTTTTATGTTGACAGCAATTATGAACGCCTTTCCTTCCGTTTATTTAATTTCCGTTTTTATTTTCATTTACGTTTTCTCATATTGTGTTGTTAATTTACTTTTTCATTTAACGAACGTTTATCATGTATAGCAGGTAACACTAGAGCAGAAATACGTATGTATATAGGAGAAAAGAATACACATATACATACAGTCAGCATAAAAATAACAGTGTACAAATTTCAAGATTTCAAATTTCTTGTAATAAAATCATACATACAGTAATATCCATTTCTGCTCACTGTATCTGAATCCACTATATACTTATGCACATATTTGTTAACAATATTTATAGTTTAATATTTTTTCTCACATCTGGCTTGAACTCGTATGAACGTATTTAATATTTGTATATAGCTCTGTAACACTTTTTTTATTTGCTGTACTGATTTTAATTACAGATGTACACCACCATCGAAGAAAAACGATTATCAGAAATTTACTCACATTGGTGTAATGAATTTGAAAAATATAAATCAGCCATGAAGCAATGGCAAGCCAAACAAGAGGTAAGAGTATTTTTAAAAATTTAACCATGTAAGTTTCCAGAGGTTATTGAAGTAAGAAAAGTTAATGGCTACAATTCTTTGATTGGAAATTATTTATATTGTGCGCTAATTATGAGGAAAACTACACTGGAATAAACATTTTAATGAATCTGTTCTAGTTCAGTTCTAGTTTAGTTCTAGTTTAGTTCTAGTTTAGTTCAAGTTCTGTTCTAGTTCTGGTTTAGTTCTAGTTCAGTTCTAGTTCAGTTCTAGTTCAGTTTCTAGTTCGGTTCTAGTTCGGTTCTAGTTCGGTTCTAGTTCGGTTCTAGTTCAGTTCTAGTTCAGTTCTAGTTCAGTTCTAGTTCAGTTCTAGTTCAGTTCTAGTTCAGTTCTAGTTTCAGTTCTAGTTCAGTTCTAGTTCAGTTCTAGTTCAGTTCTAGTCAGTTCTAGTTCAGTTCTAGTTCAGTTCTAGTTCAGTTCTAGTTCAGTTCAGTAGTTCTAGTTCTAGTTCTAGTTCAGTTCTAGTTCTAGTTCAGTTCTAGTTCAGTTCTAGTTCAGTTCTAGTTCAGTTCTAGTTCAGTTCTAGTTCAGTTCTAGTTCAGTTCTAGTTCAGTTCTAGTTCAGTTCTAGTTCAGTTCTAGTTCAGTTCTAGTTTCAGTTCTAGTTCAGTTCTAGTTCAGTTCTAGTTCAGTTCTAGTTCAGTTCTAGTTCAGTTCTAGTTCAGTTCTAGTTCAGTCTAGTTCAGTTCTAGTTCAGTTCTAGTTCAGTTCTAGTTCAGTTCTAGTTCAGTTCTAGTCAGTTCTAGTTCAGTTCTAGTTCAGTTCTAGTTCAGTTCTAGTTCAGTTCTAGTTCAGTTCTAGTTCAGTTCTAGTTCAGTTCTAGTTCAGTTCTAGTTCAGTTCTAGTTCTAGTTCAGTTCTAGTTCAGTTCTAGTTCAGTTCTAGTTCAGTTCTAGTTCAGTTCTAGTTCAGTTCAGTTCTAGTTCAGTTCTAGTTCCGTTCTAGTTCAGTTAGTTCAGTTCTAGTTCAGTTCTAGTTCAGTTCTAGTTCAGTTCTAGTTCAGTTCTAGTCAGTTCTAGTTCAGTTCTAGTTTCAGTTCTAGTTCAGTTCTAGTTCAGTTCTAGTTCAGTTCTAGTTCAGTTCTAGTTCAGTTCTAGTTCAGTTCTAGTTCAGTTCGTTCGTCTAGTTCAGTTCTAGTTCAGTTCTAGTTCAGTTCTAGTTCAGTAGTCAGTTCTAGTTCAGTTCTAGTTCTGTTCTAGTTCTGTTCTAGTTCTGTTCTAGTTCTGTTCTAGTATAGTCTGTTCTAGTTCTGTTCTAGTTCTGTTCTAGTTCTGTTCTAGTTCTGTCTAGTTCTGTTCTAGTTCTGTTTCTAGTTCTGTTCTAGTTCTGTTCTAGTTCTGTTCTAGTTCTGTTCTAGTTCTGTTCTAGTTCTGTTCTAGTTCTGTTCTAGTTTTCTGTTCTATGTCTGTTCTAGTTCTGTCTAGTTCTGTTCTAGTTCTGTTCTAGTTCTGTTCTAGTTCTGTTCTAGTCTGTTCTGTTCTGTTCTAGTTCTGTTCTAGTTCCGTTCTAATTCTGTTCTAGTTCTGTTCTAGTTTTGTTCTAGTTCTTTTCTAGTTCTGTTCTAGTTCTGTTCTAGTTCTGTTCTAGTTCTGTTCTAGTTCTTTTCTAGTTCTAGTTCTGTTCTAGTTCTAGTTCTGTTCTAGTTCTAGTTCTGTTCTTGTTCCTGTTCTTGTTCTAGTTCTAGTTCTGTTCTAGTTCTGTTCTAGTTCTGTTCTAGTTCTGTTCTAGTTCTGTTCTAGTTCTGTTCGGTTCATGGGCGATTTTTGACATCTTATTCCAAATTTTAATTCCCATTGGACACAGATTTTTCAATCCAAATATAGGTCTGTTAATATAATTAAAGGTAGATTAAACACCAATGGTATTGCTGTGTATAAAATAAAATCAAATAAATATTATTTATGTGGCAACAAATTTCAATACTATTAAGGTCATATAAATCATTTGACTAATAAACCGTGACACAACTACCACCAGAATTTCCATTGACAATATTTATTAAATTAGTCTAAAATATAAAGTAAAATACACATAGAGTAAAAGTTAAGGAAACCTTAATATAAATTTTAATTGCTTTAAACATAAATCATATTTTACAACCCTCCCAAAAGGAATATGGACAGTAAGGAAAAGTCTAATAAATATAACAAGAAGTCTTAATAAAGAAAATTCAACGGAGCAATGAAACATATTTATATTGAATTTAATTCAAAAAATATACACTGACATACATATACTAACATTTTGCTTTCATATTCTTATACACAAAGCCAAGTTAGCACAACACACACAACCAACATAAAGTTCAAAATTTTTACAACTGTAATGAAATTTTATATTGGCAACACTTGTTCGTTGCTACACAACCCAGTAGATTTGGGCATAGACAAAGTTTACATTTTGTTTAATTATTTGTTATATATATTTGCCTGATTAGTAATTACTTTAAAGTCCCCAAGTAAGCTAGCAGGTAAGCAATATTTAAAAAAAAAAAAAAAACTAAGGAAAGAGAGAGGGAATGCTTAAGAAACTTTTATTTGGCAAACAGATTCAAATCTAATAAACATTAGTTTTGGACTTCTACCCGAAACTGTAAGGTTGATGCTGATGTTGTTGTTTGTGGCTGTCATTGTATATGTGTGTTGTATTTTTAATTAATCGGTAAAATACATTTTTATTTCCTCCAGTTCAGTTTTATTATTTAGAAATTGTTCTTGTTACTTGTAAACCCTAGTAAGTATACTCTTTGGGAGGAATAAAACTTTAATGAAAAATCCAAGATGTAACCAGAAAAAAAAGAAATTAATTAAAAACAATTAGAAACGTTTAATTTCATGGACACATTAAATATTTTCACGTAGATATTAAATGTTTGTTCGCATTGTTGTTGTTTTACAAAGTTGCCAACAATTAACAACAATCTTGTAACACATTTAAACATACAAATATATTTGAAACCATCATCAATTTAAAATTAAAAAGTAGGGGGTGGCAAGTTTTCCGTGTCAGTTTAAAATGTGTTTAAAATCGCATTAATAATGTGTGTCTGTGTTTTCCTGTTTAATGGTGGATTAATGAATTATTTGTTAGAGAATGAACGGACCATTTAAAGATAATTATTTAAGAGGGCAAGCACATGAAACTATAATAAATTATATACTTCGAAAATATTTTAAATATGTAGTTACAAATACATAAGGAAAATATATATATATTTTTTCCCTCAAGTTACAATTTTCCTAAATGAATTTAGAAATTTACACTGCTGCACGAAACAACACCATAATTTTCTGACGAACTTTGTTACTTGTTTTATGTGACCACTTTTAATTATTCTCTCACTAATCAAATATTTTTGTTTAATTTCAGCAATGTGGTATGAAAGAGAAAACAGCTGGAAAGCATATGAATGATGTCTATAGTAATGATAAACATAGTCTGACCACATGGTAAGTAAAAACAGCTAATAACAATAATAAGTTATTAGCATAAAGGTCTAATTGTTATAGAACTGAACTAAAACTGAAGTAGAACCGAACTAGAACTGAACTAGAACTGAACTAGAACTGAACTAGAAATGAACTAGAACTGAACTAGAACTGAACTAGAACTGAACGCTAGAACTGAACTAAACTGAACTAGAACTGAACTAGAACTGAACTAGAACTGAACTATAACTGAACTAGAACGAACTAGAACTGAACTAGAACTGAACTAGAACTGAACTAGAACTGAACTAGAAATGAACTAGAACTGAACTAGAACTGAACTAGAACTGAACTAGAACTGAACTAGAACTGAACTAGAACTGAACTAGAACTGAACTAGAACTGAACTAGAACTGAACTAGAACTGAACTAGAACTGAACTAGAAATGAACTAGAACTGAACTAGAACTGAACTAGAACTGAATAGAACTGACTAGAACTGAACTAGAACTGACTAGAACTGAACTAGAACTGAACTAGAACTAACTAGAACTGAACTAGAACTGAACTAGAACTCAAATAGAACTGAACTAGAACTGAACTAGAACTGAACTAGAACTGAACTAGAACTGAACTAGAACTGAACTAGAACTGAACTAGAACTCAACTAGAACTGAACTTGAAATGAACTAGAACTGAACTAGAACTGAACTAGAACTGAACTAGAACTGAACTAGAACTGAACTAGAACTGAACTAGAACTGAACTAGACTGAACTAGAACTGAACTAGAACTGAACTAGAACTGAACTAGAACTAGAAACTGAACTAGAACTGAACTAGAACTGAACTAGAACTGAACTAGAACTGAACTAGAACTGAACTAGAACTGAACTAGAACTGAACTAGAACTGAACTAGAACTGAACTAGAACCTGAACTAGAACTGAACTAGAACTGAACTAGAACTGAACTAGAACTGAACTAGAACTGAACTAGAACTGAACTAGAACTGAACTAGAACTGAACTAGAACTGAACTAGAACTGAACTATAGAACTGAACTAGAACTGAACTAGAACTGAACTAGAAACTGAACTAGAACTGAACTAGAACTGAACTAGAACTGAACTAGAACTGAACTAGAACTGAACTAGAACTGAACTAGAACTGAACTAGAACTGAACTAGAACTGAACTAGAACTGAACTAGAATCAACTAGAAGAACTAGAACTGAACTAGAACTGAACTAGAACTGAACTAGAACTGAACTAGAACTGAACTAGAACTGAACTAGAACTGAACTAGAACTGAACTAGAACTGAACTAGAACTGAACTAGAACTGAACTAGAACTGAACTAGACTGAACTGAACTGAACTAGAACTGAACTAGAACTGAACTAGAACTGAACTAGAACTGAACTAGAACTGAACTAGAACTGAACTAGAACTGAACTAGAACTGAACTAGAACTGAACTAGAACTGAACTAGAACTGAACTAGAACTGAACTAGAACTGAACTAGAACTGAACTAGAACTGAACTAGAACTGAACTAGAACTGAACTAGAACTGAACTAGAACTGAACTAGAACTGAACTAGAACTGAACTAGAACTGAACTAGAACTGAACTAGAACTGAACTAGAACTGAACTAGAACTGAACTAGAACTGAACTAGAACTGAACTAGAACTGAACTAGAACTGAACTAGAACTGAACTAGAACTGAACTAGAACTGAACTAGAACTGAACTAGAACTGAACTAGAACTGAACTAGAACTGAACTAGAACTGAACTAGAACTGAACTAGAACTAGACTGAACTAGAACTGCTGAACTAGAACTGACTAGAATGAACTAGAACTGAACTAGAACTGAACTAGAACTGAACTAGAACTGAACTAGAACTGAACTAGAACTGAACTAGAACTGAACTAGAATGAACTAGAACTAGAACTGAACTAGAACTGAACTAGAACTGAACTAGAACTGAACTAGAACTGAACTAGAACTGAACTAGAACTGAACTAGAACTGAACTAGAACTGAACTAGAACTGAACTAGAACTGAACTAGAACTGAACTAGAACTGAACTAGAACTAAACTAAACTGAACTAGAACTGAACTAGAACTGAACTAAACTGAACTAGAACTGAACTAGAACTGAACTAGAACTGAACTAGAACTGAACTAGAACTGAACTAGAACTGAACTAGAACTGAACTAGAACTGAACTAGAACTGAACTAGAACTGAACTAGAACTGAACTAGAACTAACTAGAACTGAACTAGAACTACTAGAACTGAACTAGAACTGAACTGAACTGAACTAGACTGAACTAGAACTGAACTAGAACTGAACTAGAACTGAACTAGAACTGAACTAGAACTGAACTTGAACTGACTAGAACTGAACTAGAACTGAACTAGAACTGAACTAGAACTGAACTAGAACTGAACTAGAACTGAACTAGAACTGAACTAGAACTGAACTAGAACTAAACTAGAACTAAACTAGAACTAAACTAGAACTGAACTAGAACTGAACTAGAACTACTGTGAACTAGAACTGAACTAGAACTGAACTAGAACTGAACTAGAAACTGAACTAGAACTGAACTAGAACTGAACTAGAACTGAACTAGAACTGAACTAGAACTGAACTAGAACTGAACTAGAACTGAACTAGAACTGAACTAGAACTGAACTAGAACTGAACTAGAACTGAACTAGAACTGAACTAGAACTGAACTAGAACTGAACTAGAACTGAACTAGAACTGAACTAGAACTGAACTAGAACTAGAACTGAACTAGAACTGAACTAGAACTAGAACTGAACTAGAACTGAACTAGAACTGAACTAGAACTGAACTAGAACTGAACTAGAACTGAACTAGAATTGAACTAGAACTGAACTAGAACTGAACTAGAACTGAACTAGAACTGAACTAGAACTGAACTAGAACTGAACTAGAACTGAACTAGAACTGAACTAGAACTGAACTAGAATGAACTAGAACTGAATAGAACTGAACTAGAACTGAACTAGACTGAACTAGAACTGAACTAGAACTGAACTAGAACTGAACTAGAACTAGAACTGAACTAAACTGAACTAGAACTGAACTAGAACTGAACTAGAACTGAACTAGAACTGAACTAGAACTGAACTAGAACTGAACTAGAACTGAACTAGAACTGAACTAGAACTGAACTAGAACTGAACTAGAACTGAACTAGAACTGAACTAGAACTGAACTAGAATTGAACTAGAACTGAACTAGAACTTACTAAATACATATAGATACATATATACATACATGTATTGCAATAATATATATTTAACTAGTTAATTTTTAAAAGTTTTAATGAAAATATATGTTTTTTTCTTTTACATTTCTTTGCAGACAAACAAAACAATTACTAAAGACTGACATTTTTAAGCTTTTAAACGACATATTTCCAATATATATTTCTCTTTTTCAATTCGGTTAAAATTTAATTTTGCAGAAATAAAAAAAAAGAAAACTACAAATTATTCTGAAAATTTTGGTTAACATAAATCTAAAAATAAACCACAGCAGCAGCAAGGAAAGCAGCAGTAGTAAAAACTAAACAAAATTGCGTGAATATGAAAAAACTGTTACAAGGATTTTAAGCATAATTTCAAATACACGAAAACATAACTTTTTTAATCTAAACAAAATACAGGTTAGGTTTTTCTTTTTGCATTTATTAAGGATTTTTGGCAACAGAAACACACACACAAAAAGGTTGAAACTGAAAAAAGAACAAAAAGGAAACAGTTAACACACCCACAACTACAAGTTACAGAAAGTTACTAAATAAATGAAAAACTCCTGCCACAGACATTAAGTGAAAAATAATAAAAAAAAATACAACTGAACATAAAATGGATTTTAAAAGAAGCAAATTTTAATATACATAATAAAAACAGAAATACAATGGTTTTAAAAAAACAGAAAACAAAAACAAATACAGATCATAAATTAAAAAAAAACAACAACAACAAGTTATAGTTTTATAACAAATAAGAAAAACAAATGTGAAATATCATTTACACAAAAAAATAATAATAATAATAATAAAAACCTTGTAAAAATAGAGCAAATGATTTATTAAGAATTACATAAACCACCTACCACCTAACACAAATATATGCTACAACAATGTTTTTAATTTTTTATTTTTAAATAATTAAGTTTTTACTACCTATTTTAAATATTTAAAAATGTTTTTAGTGTTATAAGAGTTTGTTGAATTAAAATAATTTTTGTTTTCAAACTGTTTAATTTTATAAGTGAATTTTTATTTAAAAGAGGGGATTAATAATAATCGAATAAAAAAATCTTCTTAAAATGAACAAAAAATTGCAATTTCAAGATAAACAAACTAATAATTAGATATCACTTTTATAAACATTATTTTAATTTTCTTTTAATTTTATGACTTAAAAACTTAGATATTATTATACACTGTTTTCCAAAATTATAAGGATGGGAGCAATAAGGTTCTCCAGTTCTAGTTCAGTTCTAGATCAATGCTTCAGTTCTAGTTCAGTTCTAGTTCAGTTCTAGTTCAGTTCTAGTTCAGTTCTAGTTCAGTTCTAGTTCAGTTCTAGTTCAAGTTCTAGTTCAGTTCTAGTTCAGTTTCGTAGTTCAGTTTCTAGTTCCGTTCTAGTTCCTGTTCTAGTTCAGTTCTAGTTCAGTTCTAGTTCAGTTCTAGTTCAGTTCTAGTTCAGTTTCTAGTTCAGTTCTAGTTCAGTTCTAGTTCAGTTCAGTTCGAGTCAGTTTCTAGTTCAGTTCTCGTTCAGGTTCTAGTTCAGTTCTAGTTCAGTTCTAGTTCAGTTCTAGTTCAGTTCTAGTTCAGTTCTAGTTCAGTTCTAGTTCAGTTTCTAGTTCAGTTCTAGTTCATTCTAGTTCAGTTCTAGTTCAGTTCTAGTTCAGTTATAGTTCAGTTCTAGTTCAGTTCTAGTTCAGTTCTAGTTCAGTTCTAGTTCAGTTCTAGTTCAGTTCTAGTTCAGTTCTAGTTCAGTTCAGTCTAGTTCAGTTCTAGTTCATTCTTCAGTTCTAGTTCCGTTCTAGTTCAGTTCTAGTTCAGTTCTAGATTCAGTTCTAGTTCAGTTTCTAGTTCAGTTCTAGTTCAGTTCTAGTTCAGTTCTAGTTCAGTTCTAGTTACAGTTCTAGTTCAGTTCTAGTTCAGTTCTAGTTCCAGTTCTAGTTTCAGTTCTAGTTATTCTAGTTCACTTCTAATTCAATTCTGCATCCAATGTTAGTCTCTGACGCGTTCTTCTTATCGCCCCCACCACCCTCATTATCATTTGTAACACAGTGTTTAAAACGTTAAACTGCAACGCTGTAAATAATTTTAATATTAAGATTACTATTTAATTAATATTAGATGTTTCAAAACCTAAGGCAAAATAATAACAACAAATTTATATTATTATAATTGAAATTTAAACTACAAAAGCTTAAGTTTTTTATAGCAAATTTTTACACAAAACATAAAAATATAACAAATAACATTTTAAGTTCATTAAACTATTACTTCTTTAATTTTCTATTCAAATTAATATAAAAAAGAACACAAATCCAGCTTGTAAAAATCTTTCAAATATACAATTACAAATTCTTATTACATAAAATATTTTTATAAAAAAAAAATGAGAAAAAATCTTTAAAAAACTAAAAAAAATCAACAGAAAATAACAAATTTAGTTTTAAGCTTAAATTTAATTTAGTATTATTAAACAATTTATAATTAAATATAAATACAAAAACAATTAGTTATAGTTAATTATAGCAAAGATATATAAAAGAATACAATTTTGTAAATATTTGTAAAATATTAAATAAACTAAAAAAAAAAATAAAATTCAACACAAAAACAGAATACAAAAATATGAGTATTTTTTCAAAACAAAATCATATAAAATATATTTCATTTAGCGCGGTAGTAAAGTTTGATTTTTTATTAATTATAAAAACGTTTTCTAAAGAAAAAAACAAACAAGCCTGCGAGTTTTTTTTTTTCCAAAAGGGGTATAAGATTATTTTGAAAATTGGTAAGATATCATATTGAATTTTTGGTCATATTCATAATACAGAAACTTATCATTATGTGACTTGTATTCGTTGATACCATATAGGCAATTACTTACTATTTAAGGATGTAGTAGCAGCCATTAATAAGCAACTTCTGAGTAACAAAGTTGTTGGGAAGAGTTGTTTAGTAATTGAAAGTCTTTATAATTTTAATGTAAAGTCTTCAAAGTGGCTTATGTGCGCTGAAAGGCCAAACATCATAAGAGTAAGACGGACAGACGTATTGACAGAAAGACGGACAGATAGGCTATATTAACTCTTCAATTCTAAACCGATTGGTACAGTTTAAGGAGGGATAGAACCAATATCAGTGTGCTTTAGAAACATAAGACTAAACCCCATATACTCTTCCTACTAAAGTGATGTGGGGTATAAATATTGTAAAATGATGTAGTTATTTTGAGAAGGATAACCCGAGCACTCTGGTGTGAGACGATTTTATATTCATACACAAATTTATCAAGTTTCCGTCCGTAACAAATGGAAAAACTAACTTTGAGTATATATGAGGAAAAGATCACTTCATTAAGTCCATATATAGGGCCATCTCTCGAATTTCAATCTGTGGTTATATTTAGATTCGAACATGTTGAATACATATATGATAATTCCTAAATTTCAAGCTTAATTTTCACAGACAGACGGACATTTTAACAACAGTTTAAAGAAATGCTTGTTTTTTGAGCCACCCTAATATATATTCCAGATTTACTTCCACGTGTAAGCAATGGAATGGAACAATCAAAATATTCCCATAATTCTAAAAAAAAAATACTCTGAACATACATGCTGCTTTAGGAACTCAAGGCGTATGAGTTACAAACATTGTTTGCTTATAAAGTATACGTTATACGCAATTTAATGGAAATACTAAATTAAGCTTTTATTAATTGGTTTTGGAAAAATTGTTTGCAGTAATTTGGTTATTTTCGATTAGGTTTGAACAATTCATTAACTGTGTCCCAGGACATTATTGCACATGAAAAAATTATGTTTTTTATTTAATAAATAAATTAATATTAAAGTTTATTGTAACAAATGTCTATTTAAATAAACTAAAAGACATCATAATATTGGTTGTATACTCTTGTGTCCTTATGCGATTCTAAGACGATGCATCGCGATGTAGTACTGTCTGTCTGTCTATCTGTCTGTTGAAAATACCATAGGACCTAAATATTATATATTGATGTTGTCCTTAATTTGAAAGTAACTATTTTGTGTAAGGAACCCTTCATCAAAAGTATAAAACTTTAGTTTCTGTATCAAAGGCTTACACATTCCTTTTAACTAAAAACACAACTTACTTTTGTTTTCTAAACACTCCAACTGAAAATACTCATCTCTCATTTTTGATTTATACTTAAATACTTCAATTTGATATCAACCATATTCAATTATTCTAATACCTCAAACAAGTATGTAAATGTATAAATAAAGGCTTCTGGTTTGTTTTTTTTTTTAACCATTCACAAAAAGCAATATTTAGTAACAAGATAAAAGGAAAAATATACAAGTTTAAATATAACAAATAATATACATATATAATTAGTTAAAACGAAAGTTGCATGTAAATAAAGCAGTAAAGTACATTTTTGTCATTAATTATTAGAAAAGTTGTTTAAATATGTAGAAATTTATACGTAGAAAGAGAAAATTAAGAAAAAAAACAAAAGCTAGTAACATTCTCAAAGGAAAATAATAATGGCTTGCCAAGGAAAAAAATAAACGCTTCAACAGCATTATTTATACAATTAAAAATATATATATACATTTTAATTAAAAGTTCAGTTGGTTATTTATGCTTAGATTTATTCTTTTGTGTTTACTTTAGAAAGAGAAGGGTTGAAAAAATTAGGTTTTAGCGTTATTAGTTCAATAATTTGAAACTTTTTATAAATTAGACTTTCTAATGGAATATCTTACTGGTCCTTTCAAATACAATTTTACACCGACATAATCAAGAAGCATTTCTAGGATAGATCCCAGGTTCAGTGGTATCATATTAACTTATTTATAGAATCTTATTGTATAAACAACTAAGTTTGTGTTTTTAATGAAAACTGTTGAATTTTATGCCAATAAGGCGTAATTTTCAATCGGATACCATTTGCTTACCAAAGCTTATGGTGAATCGGTTCCAATGCCCAAGAAATGGTTTGAGCGATTCAGAAAAAGTGATTTTTATCGCCAAACAAGTTTGAAACCCGAGAATTGGTGTCATTACTCCATGAAGAAGAAAATGGAATATTATGGGATCAGTTTTAAAAGTATAAGGGGCATATAGATTCATTCTTAAGAAGAAGAAAAATGATTTTTGAAAAATGGATTGGTTACGATAACATATGAGATCCTACATAAAGCCCGGCCAATCGAATTACCTTCAACGCCACAATATCCATGATGCTAAGGTATTGGTGGGCCAAATAGATCCTATCATTGGTCGAAAACGCCCAGATATTACTAACATGACAATGCCCGACCATATGTTGAAATAGCTATTAGAAACTGTGTTTTTACACCTTGCCCCTTCCAAACACTACTTTTTTCAATCGATGCAGAATACTCTCTATCGAATGCAATTGGATTCTGACCGAAAAAATGCAGCCAGAATATGAATGGTCGGATAACATATGAGATCCTACATAAAGCCCGGCCAATCGAATTGCCTTCAACGCCACAATATCCATGATGCTAAGGTATTAGTGGGCCAAATAGATCCTATCATTGGTCGAAAACGCCCAGATTTTACTAACATGACAATGCTCAACCATATGCTGAAATAGCTGTTAGAAACTGTGTCTTTACACCTTGCCCCTTCCAAACACTACTTTTTTCAATCGATACAGAATACTCTCTATCGAATGCAATTGGATTCTGCCCGATAAATATGCGGCCAGAATATGAATGGTCGGATAACATATGAGATCCTACATAAAGCCCGGCCAATCGAATTGCCTTCAACGTCACAATATCCATAATGCTAAGGTATTGGTGGGCCAAATAGGGCCTATCATTGGTCGAAAAAGCCCAGATATTACTAACATGACAATGCTCGACCATATGTTGAAATAGCTGTTAGAAACTGTGTCTTTACACCTTG